GTCAGGTATGGCCGTGAGAATGCTTAGGCCATAAGGGCAGCGGGAACAACCCAGGTATGTCTCTTTTCCCCGTCTTTGACAGTGGCACATCCTAGGCACTTGCTGCTGCTTCAGACTGGGTTCAGGACAGGGACACATGGAGAGCAGCACCAGAGCCAACCATAGCACCCACAGGCTCAGAACACAAGAAATGACCAAAGCTCCTGGCCCTGAAAGTCACTGAAAGTTTAGACTTGCTGATTGCCACAGAGTAACCTGACAAAGCTTCCCAAAGGCGTCTATTAAAGGGATCTGCCTGCTAGATGCCTGTCCAGTTTAGGGGATCTGGCATCCAGAGCAACTGAAGGCCCCAATTTATAGTCAAGGAGTTTTCAAACATGTGAATCTCAAACAACAGAAAATTTTCCTCCCAAATTTTACCAAGGTTTTCTTTTTTGTTGTTGTTGTCAATGGTGCTGAAAGCCACAGCCAAGTCGGAATGGCCCCTGGCATTTTGCGGAAGTAATGGTTGAGAGGCAAGCCATTAAGATGATGCTGGATTGAAACAGGCTGTGTATTCAATTGTATATAGACACCTGCAGTCCTCGGGAGCCCACTACTTTGGAGTTCTCATGGGGATTCCTGGGGAGTTCCTGTTGGTGGGTGAGGTTCCGGTGCAGGGAGTTTCGGTGTGTGCGGTGTGCCTGGAAGGGCCGAGTGGGTGGCGTTTGCGTGAGTTTGGAAATAAAGTTTGYTCCTGCTTGAGTGGCTGGTGATTTGTGCCCAGCCAGACTGCGGCAAATGGACCTTTATTTTTATTTATTTGTATGTGGTGCTGAGAATCAAACCCAGTACCTCACACATGCTAGGCAAGTGCTCTACCACTGAGCCACAACCCCAAGTTTAAATAAATACAATCTTCCTCTAAAAACTCAGCCTACATTTTAACATCAAAAATATAGGAAAAAAAGGAGTTGAGGTTGTAGCTCAGTGGTAGAGCGCTTGCCTAGCATGTGTGAGGCACCATGTTCGATCCTCAGCACCACATATAAATAAGCAAAATAATAGGTCCACTGACAACTAAAAAAAAAAAAGTTTAAAAAAATGTAGAAAAGACAAAACCTCAGACTAAAGAGCAGTCCTTTCCACTGGGTACATTTGGATTTATGGAAAGATCCATTCCAGGTTCCCTGTAACAACCTTGTCGTGGTTGGGTCAGAGGGTGTGTGACTTAAAGGAAAAGAAATACCAGGCACTCCTTTATGAGTTCAACTGCAGTTATAAAAATCCAACATTAGTGCTAAAATTGTTTATTTTTAAAAGTTAAGGGAAAAAAGTATACTATATATGTGTGTGTTTACTAAGTCAGAATCTTTTTTTTAATATTTATTTTTTAGTTGTAGTTGGATACAATACCTTCATTTTAACTTATTTATTTTTATGTGCTGCGGATGGAACCCAGGTCTCACACATGCAAGGTGATCGCTTTACCACTGAGCCACAACCCCAGCCCCTAAGTCAGAATCTTGGAGAAACCTGCCCATTATGCCTAAGGAGTTATTCTGTTCCATTGCAAAAGTTAAATAGTACTTAGAATATCCAGCAAAGGCCGTGCACAGTGACGCACACCTGTATTCCAGCTGCTCAGGAGGCTGAAGCAGGAGGATCGMAAGTTCAAAGCCAGCATCAGCAACAGCAAGATGCTAAGCAACTCAGTGAAACCCTGACTCTAAAATAAAATAGAGCAAAAGGGCTGGGGATATAGTTTAGCGGTCGAGTGCCCCCAGGTTCAATCTGTGGTTAAAAAAAAAAAAAAAAAAAAAAACATTCAGCAAAGCTGTGTTGGCAGGTATTAATTGTGCCTAATCATTCTGAAAGGTATGAATAGTAATTTAACAATTCATAACAATAAATAAGAGTTTTGATGTAATCTATTACTGGTAATTATCACATTTGGTCAAAACTTTAAAAACATGTTGAACATGTTTTTAAACATATTTATATCAATACACTAAAAACCACTGTCCCATCACACCCACAGAGGCACACAACCACCCACCCGTGGGTCATACTTTGGTTATTACCTCTTCTTTCTTAAGCCCTTCTGCAAGCATGTTTTCCGCTCCTTTCAGTTCCTCTGTGTGTCTGATGTTTCTTTTTGTTATTAAAATGCACTAATCACAAAACAAGATATGTTATGTAGTCAACTCAATTAACTTCTAGAAAGGCCATGCCAAACAAAACCGGACCTCAGCTGATACAGTACAAATTATTTTCTTGTTTGATAAATTGTTTTTATTCCTTTGAATAACACTCAGTWCTTCATTGTGGGATGGGTTCATAAAGATAAGGATGATGCTCACTCCACTTGCTCTTTGCAGCACTCAAGCAGCAAGCTGATTCTATGGCTGCTCAATTTTCTTTAATTATTTTCATTTAAAAATTCAAATCTGAATAAATTAGGCTTCACTCATTTCCYCTCTTTTTTTTTCTTTTAAATAAARATACCAGGGGTCATACAGGGTCTCATACATGCTAGCCAAATACTCTACAACTGAGCTACATTCCCTGTGCTTTTTTTGTTTATTTTTGAAATTAYGAAATTGCGCCTGCTGGCCTTGAACTTGCAATCCTTCTGTAATCCGAGGAGCCAGGATTACAGGTAGGCTCCACCATGCCCAACTCCTCTCATTTTAAAGAGAAAAATTTAAAGTCCCAGCAGCCTATTCGACATTAGTTTTATGATTCTGAACTTAGCTTCTTTATTTCTAATAAAACAAAAAATCCCTCTTGCCTGAAGAAGCTACCGTGAGATCCCATGTCTCCAAAGAGTTTCTCCCTTGGGTTTCCGTAAGAACGTATCCGAACCCGCAGAGCCCATGAGTCTTGATAATGGAATCACACTGAAGAAGTCTCTTCTCCACCTTGATTAGCTCTAAGCTTTTATTAAACCATTTTTACCGTTTCATTATTCTTATCCACAGGCCTTCTGAGAAAAATCTCAACTTTATTGGCTTAAACTGGAAGCTTTCTGCCTAAACTCAGCTCAAGAGCTCACAGTTTCATTTAGGGCAACAGGTAGTGACATCAGACATTTTTGAYAAGAGGGGAAAATGAGAGAAGAGTGAAGGGCATTTAACCCCCACATACACAGATTGCTATAAAACTGATGGCCTCGACCGGCACACAGAAGCTGGAGCAGTCCCAGGCCTGATTCAGCTACTGACACCCAGAAGCCAGCAGAACTCCCTGAAGCCACCTCTCACTTCTAAGGTCGCCCACGGACAGGAAAGAGCAATGCCATAAAAGGTATTAACCCCAACGTTTCTTCATGCCTAAGAGATAGCTGAATATTTGCAAAGAATTTGTTTAAGCCTGCAGAAATAATAGTGGGAATGATAAATCCTTTGTATAATAAATCCTCAATATGTGTCATAATCTTCCAAATGACCCAGAGCAGCTCATTTCATTCTCAGAATCATGAGAAACTCTAATCCCCCTCACTAACAAAAGAAATTTACTAATTATTTTTAAAGAATCTTTATTTGGAAGAAGGCTACACCAAAAAAAAAAAAAAAAAAAAAGCCAAAATCAGTTACTGGGGAGACTAAGGCAGGAGGTTTGCCCAGGAGTTCCAGGCAAGCCTGGGCAGCCCAGTGACACTATCTCAAAAACAAAACAAAAACAGAAAACAAAATCAATAAGCCAATGGATCAACAAAGACGGAATCAACTGTTAAAGCAACTCTACCCACTGGGAAAATGTTGACAGATTAAATACCGTAGGTGTCCAAAGAACAAGGTGCACCGCCTAGGACAGTACAGTGTGTTCTACCAGGGCCACCAGGCAGGTCTTATCTACCCCCATGGAAACCAACTGGAAGGCGAACAATATCATGGAACATGTTGCTATTATTTGATTAAATAATAGCAACAAATAAGCAGTTTTATAATATAGGAAGCAATTACCCTAAGTTTTTGTGCCGCTATTTGGAACAGGACTAAGAAGGGCTGGAGGGCAAACAAGCTGAACCAGAGAGCTATTCTGAAGTTGAGGAATTGCCCTCAAACAACAGAAAGGGTGTTCCCCACTCTCTCACAATCAATCAATCAATCTCTCTCTCTCTCTCTCTCTCTCTCTCTCTCTC